AAATTACTTGAGAACTCTAGCATGGCAGCAAAATATAACCCATGAGATATCCTGCTAGCATGTTAAAAAACTTATCACAAAAGTTACCTTACATCAGCCCCAGTTGATGGCTTGGTAACAACAGAGAACAGCTTAGATTTTCCTGAATGTGCGTGTGTATACATATGTACCACTGAGAAGCTAGAATGAAACATTCAACGACCAGCCATTTTATAGTAGGACTCAGAAAACATAAGCAACCTCTTCCAAGATGGTGGATTTTCTGGTTTTTTTCTTCACATCTAGAAATCCATATTTTGAGATAAGCAAGACTAGTACAAAAAAATGACCAGGCCTTCAGGGTACTACACAAACAACCATTAGGAATAAAACATCTTATAGTAAAACTTAAATTTTGGAAAGGAAGGGATTCTCTAACTGATTCTATAAAGCAGCTCTTTGAAACAGCATTCATTATTATGAATATTCCATCAATGTAGGTCAGATTTCTGTAGAGAGCACTAGCTTCCATTTTGGGGATATAGTTCAGAGGGCTGAACTCTGCCCATCACTTTCTTTAGCTTAAAGAAGGCGGGAGCTATCAGAGAAGTGTCCCTAAAGGAAAAATATCACTTTGCACTTATACATTATTGGCTTTTGTATACATGAATTATCTCCAGAGACCCTCACAATGCTTACCCTGCAAGGTAAGCAGGACAGGTATTAACTCCACCTTACAGATGAAGAAATAGTGACCCCGAGGCTAAATGACTCATTTGCCCAAGGTCAAAGGTCAGGCAGCTCATTAGCAGCCCAACCAGGAGAAGAGTCTAGCCTTCTGACTTGCAGACCAGTGCAATTTCCAGGACACTACTCTGCTTACTTATGTTTTAGGATGAGAGGCAAGTAGAATGTAATGGTTATGAGCCCAGGTTCTGGTATCAGCAGATCTGCATTCTGATCTTAGTTCCACCACCTACTAGCTGTTATGACCTTGTATAAGAACCTCGGTCTCCTTACATATAAGAGGAGTTACAGTGATCAAATGAGACTCCACCACAGCTGACAGCAACAAATGAGATGACAGACATAAAAGCACTCAAATTCATTCATGCAAAAAATACTTGTGAAAGGTACAGTGCAAGTTACAATAATGACCGAGAAACACAGTCCTGCTCTCAGGGAACTTAGAATTCAGTCAAACTGCAAAAACAAATAAGTAAACAGACAGATAAAATGCTTATAAAATGTGTTGAGTGCTATTAAGAATAACAGGTAACTGGCTGGAGAGAACAGAAAACAGGGGCTAATTTTTTTTAATTGCGCTTTAAGTGAAACTTTACAGTTCAAGTTAGTTTCTCATACAAAAATTTATACATACATTGTTATGTGACCCTAGTTGCTCTCCCTATAACGTAACAGCACACTCGTCCTTTCCACCCCGGATTTCCTGTATCCATTCAACCAGCTCCTGTCCCTTTTTTGCCTTCTCATCTCGCCTCCAGACAGGAACTACCCATTTAGTCCCATGTATCTACTTGAGCTAAGAGGCACACTCTTCGCAAGTATCATTTTATGTCTTACAGTCCAGTCTAATCTTTGTCTGAAGAGTTGGCTTCAGGAATGGTTTTAGTTAGGAGCTAACACAGGCTCCGGGGGCCATGTCTTCCGGGGTCCCTCCAGTCTCAGTCAGACCATTAAGTTTGGTCTTTTTACAAGAATTTGAGTTCTGCACCCCACTTTTCCCCTGCTCCATCAAGGACTCTCTGTTGTGTTCCCTGTCAGGATAGTCCCTGGTGGTAGCCAGGCACCATCTAGTTCTTCTGGTCTCAGGCTGATGCAGTCTCTAGTTTATGTGGCCCTTTCTGCCTCTTGGGCTAATATTTTCCTTGTGTCTTTGGTGTTCTTCATTCTCCTTTACTCCAGGTGGGTTGGGACCAATTGATGTATCTTAGATGGTTGCTTGCTAGCTTTTAAGACCCCAGACGCCATTCACCAAAATGGGATACAGAACATTTTCTTAATAAACTTTGTTATGCCAATTGACCTAGATATCCCCTGCAACCATGGTCTCCAGACCCCCACCTCTGCTACTCTGTCCCTCGAAGTGTTTGGTTGTATTCAGGAAACTTCTTAGCTTTTGGTTTAGTCCAGTTGTGCTGACTTCAAAGGAGGCCAATTTTTACGAGTGGTCAAGGAAGTTCTCTTGGAGGAGAAATTTGAGACCTAAGGGATCAGGAGGAGCTATCCATGTGAAGAATGGAAGGAAAAGCATTCCAGGCATAAGGAATGGGATGTACAAGGGTCACCAAACTGCGAAAAGACAAATGGACTATGGTGTATCCTCTCACAGCATTTGGGAACAAGCTTTACTGGCTGCCACTGCCTAGGATTACCACATCCATTTTATAAATAACAAAGGTGAGGCTCAAGAGAGGTTACATGTCTTATCCAAGGTCACAGCCATTCACAGGAGGAGCTTGGATTGGGACCTCACTATCATACCTCCAGACATAACATAAGTTCAATCTCTTTGAGGAGGCCTCATGTACACGGAACTCCCCCACTGATTTCACTGATAACTCTGTTTTCTGTGCCCTTGAAGAGTTTCAAAGCATCTTGAAAAATAAGCAAAGTATAATATTAACTTCCAGGTATCTAAGTCAATTACCCTTCTAATCTTACAACACAAGGGCAAAAATTGCTCGGACTTTACTCAAAGGCTCCAAAGTGGAAACGAGTTTCTCTTCTCGAAGCAAAGAACAAGAGAGGAAAGGCATGTCCCAGAAGGCCCCACAGCCTGTTCTAGGAGGTGAGATAGAACCACCCCTGCAGAAGAGCAGAAATATGAAGGTTCATCTCAAGTGAACTGTACAGGAAACGTTAATTACTCCATCTGATTAAAAGAATGATTCCCTAAAGCAGGGGTTCTCAGCCAGGGTGGAACCACTACCACCACCATCCCCCCCAAGGGCATTTGGAAATTCATGGGGGCATTCTAGAGTGTCACAATGAATTACAGGCTGTTACCGGCATTTAGTAGGTGGGGCCTACTATGCTCAATGTCTTGCATTGGGCAGGACAGTCTTATACAGCAAAGAATGTTTTGCCCAAAATACTAATGGCACCCCCCGCTTTAGATACTCTTCCCTAAAGAATTAACATGTTCCAACTTTTCCTGTATCCCCATTACTCAGTTGCTCGCTCTAGCTTCACCACATTGATGAAAAAAGAAAATCAAACTAAGGTTTCACAGCTAAGGAGTCTAAAATTTTGGAATACAACTGTCAGCTTGTAACTCTAGCATGGAACCTGGCAGTGGAATAGGGATAAAGAAGTTTCTAGTAAGAAACAGACTTAAGAAATTTTAGCAAAAAGTAAACTCTTCCTTCCTTCCCAGACAAGCCCTGAAAAGATCACATTTGTTCTGTGACACATCAAATTATAACTGATTTCAGAGAACCTTCATATAGTACTTTTCAGTTTAACTTAAAACTAGACACTAATGACAGTTCTTTTACAAACTTAACCACAATCATCTCACATATTTGTGTAACTTTCTGGACTAAATATTATAGGAAAAATTATTAATTTCAAGATGTCTAAAGCTGATCGAATGCCTAAAAGTGCCAAAGGCAGCATACCTTGCACTCAGAGTTTGATGCAGCTCAGGTGATGTCTGGGGATTAAAATACCATACTAGCAATTCAAAAGCCACTTTCAAGTGTTATTCTAAAATAGCTGTTATTTCCCTCAAAAAAAAAATTTCACAAATTGAAGTTTATAGAATTGAAAAAAGAGCAAATCCAGATTACTCCCAGAAAAAACAGAGATCCAAACAGTCTATCCTATCTCACAACAGAAGAGTGATCCAACAGATAAATCCTCCATCAAATGCCCTGAAGGGCAGGAACAGTCTTTCCCCTGAACAGTATCTGAATTTTCTCAACTCTCTCAAAGGTGTCTGACAGAATATGTAACTTCTTCACTCTGACTTGCCAATCAGTAAATAGTGGCCTCACACCCTTTTTGGCCAATTTTCTAGAAGCCTAACCTGGCATCTCAGGTTAGCTGAGCAGACAGACCTGTTTTCCTCCAGCAGCTCCTGCCAGCTCGAGCCTGGGAAATCCCCCTCCAGCCTTTTTGCTGGCCTTTCACCAGAAGTTCACAGAAAGAATTCCACCGGATTCTTTGCATCTTCCTCTTCTCCTGTCATGTGCCAACAGCCAGGCAAATAAAATCCCACCTTGCCAGGCTCTCTGTTACAAGAAGATGCAGATTCACAGGAAGAGCAAGCACTTAGCATGGAGGGGAAGAAAAAAGATGGAGGGATGTGAGAGGCACTGAGCTGAGCCTTCTGCATGCAGTACTGTGACCAGAACCCAGGTCTTGCAAAGGCTCTGGAGGGAGGCTCCTGGCTGGGCCCTGGGTACAGAAAGCCACACCTGTCTGTGCCAGCAGCTTGTTGGCTGCTCCATTTTCAACAATTCAAACACATCTCCAGCAGGGTGGCAAATTGGGCAGCCCCCCTCTCAGCAAGGGTGACAGTCCTAATCCAAACATCACTTGCCCCCAATTATATTTCTTTTCACACTCTTTGTTTTGTTTGGGAGACACTGCTTGGTCATATGGGCTCCATCTCTGTTAACGGTGAGGCAAGCACAATGCTGCAGTGACAGAAAGGAAGCACCCACGCTGACTTGCTAGAAGCCAGACAAAACCTCTTCTGAGGATTCTGATACCAATAAAGGGACTTCAGGAGGCAGGTTTCACTCTGCCCATCCACGAGTGAACAAATGCCTACAGTCCGAAACCACTCGGCTCCAAGCCTCGCAGAAAGCCTCTTTTCTAGAGGGTGGGGATCCCATTCATCCCTAGGTATCAAGAACCAAAGGGGAGCAGACAGATCCAGGTCGTGCACTCCGTATCCAAACCTTTGCAAGCGCGTGAAGGTCTGGGGCGCCCCAGCGCGCCCTCCCTTGCGCTCCACCCTACGAGGCCTCCACCGCCCGCGGACTCACCACTGTGCGAGCTGAACCACCTGGGTGTGATGTGCAGAGGTAGAGCATCCGCCAGCGAGGCTCGGGAGCCCAGGTACAGCATCCCGTCTCTATGGTGACCGCTGCCTGTCTCCTGGTAACCATTGCCATGGGCATAGGTGGAGTCGGACGCGGACCCTCCGCCGCCGGGCGCCCTCTCAGAGTCGCTGCTCTCCCGGGTGGCGGGGGTGTAAAGGCCAAAGGGCACCCCTCCGGTTGTGCTGGGGTCCATGCCCATGCCAGCCACAGAGCTGACCGAGCGGCTGCGCAGCCCCATGGCCCCGCCGCCCGCCCGGTAGTGGCCAAAGTGGGGCGCTCCTCCCGGTGGGGGCACGGCGCTGTCATCGGTGGAGACCCCCGGAAAGGGGCCCCGGGAGCGGGCCGCCGTGCTCTGCTTGCCCCCCATCGTCGCCCGAGCCCCAGTGGGGCGGGAACCTGGAGGCAGAGACCCTCCCCCACTTCTCAGCAGCGGGGGGAGGATTGGGCCAGCATAAAGGGGAAGGGAGTCAAAAAGGAGACCGTGAAAAGAAAAAAGGGGTAAAAAAAGAGGAAGAAAAGAAAACCTGCGAGACGGAAGAGGCAGGCGGGCGGGGATCCCAAACTAAGAATTTAAAACAATCCAAGCCAAACGCATGTTTCCTCTCAAGGTCCAAGGAGGCGCAGTCCGGAGCGGGCTCCGCACGCCACAGGCCACCCCCGGGCTCCCGAAAGCCCAGGGAGCTGCAGGGAAGGAGGGAGGGAGGCGGCGGGCGAGAGGGCGCAGGGAGGCGCCGGAGGAGGCCGCCTGCCCGGGAGGAGGCGGCAGAGGAGGGCTGGGGGCGCCGGGCGCGTCCCCGGTCTCAGGACGGCGCTACCATGGACGGCGGCCCGGACCCCTCCAGGCCTCAGGCAGGCTGCGGCGCTGGGCGTCCAGGCGGGGTTCTGGAAGCCGCGATCGCGTCGCGTCGCGCTCTCGCTCCAGTCGCCTTCAGCCCGGCGAACCGCGCCGCCCCACTCAGTCCCGGGCTGCGCTCGCCGGCGCTCCTCGCCGCGGTGGAGACAATGGAAGGCCGCTGAGCGCAGGCGCGGCCCGCGCCCCCTCCTCCCCACCCCACCCCCCTCCGGCTTAACCCCTTCGCGGCCCCTGCGGCGCCCGGGCTGCTGACGCCCGAGAGGTCCCCACCCTCTCGCACCTCCGCCGGCCAGTGACCGGAGTGGCCTGAGCCACCGCGGGGCGTCAGGAACAGAAGCAAGACGTCTTTTCAAAGCAAGCAATCTTTAAGTCCCAGAAAATGGCTAATTTTTTCAGGGGGCATCATATATGGGGGGAGGGGCGGCGATGGCTCAAGAGGGTGGATGGGAAACACAAGGAGGAATGAAAATTGCTAAATCAGACTACCTGGCTCTGAGGGTCACTGGTCAAACTCCCCTCCGGCAAAAATTTGCCCCCACAGCACCCTCTGGTGGACGTGCTGTCCATCCTGTCTCAGCTTCCCCACCCCCTTTTTCGGCTTTATCCACACTCCAAGGACCCCTCCTAACATCAAGAAGCTTGCATTTTAGGCTGTGCAAGTTTGGGTGAACAGCGCACTGGGGTACTTATGCCTCCCGGGCTCTGAGAACAGTAGATCAAAACATCCTAGTTTGTGCTAAAGCAAATCAGTAGGTTCTTTAGATGCACAGTATAAAGTGCAAAGATATAGACATGGGAATAGAATAATGCAGCTAGAAGTGGTTATAGAAACTCCTTAGTCCAAGACAGGACCCCTGTTTTGTTTGCCATGTATTCCCATATGCACCACAGGGTCTGGCGCATAGTAGGTACTTGATATATAATTGTTGACCAAGCTGTCAAATTTGCATCTGAGAAAAACCTTTCAACTTCCCTCCCTGTGTTTCTCACACATTTACATTCATTTGTTCATTCATTCATTCATGGACTATTTTCCAAGTGCCCTGTGCTAAGCTAAGTGCTGGCTATAAGCATCAACCAGCCCCTGTCCTGCCTTGCTCTAAATGTCCCAAGATAGTTCCAAACCAAGGAGCAAAGCATTGTATAAAGATACATTCAAAGGAAACCAAAAGAAGAAGGACTGGTCTGTCACAGATTTGTATCGTCCCAGTGTGACCAGCCTGGAAAGAAACAAGGGAAAGACTATTTGCAAGCATGCAGGTGCCCCAGGGTGAACGCAAAGCTGTGCATAAGGAAGCTGAGAGTTCTGTATGAGAAATGAAGGTAAGAAGACCCAAAATGTGCCACCTGTAAAAATGACTCTACCCAAAATCATCTCTAAGTGCCTAAATGAGTTTGTGGATACCTAAAATCCAAATGAGTAATCTGAAGAAAACTAATAAAGCTTAAATTTAACTTAATTTCTCCCACAAAGAAAGATTATGGCAACAGAAAACGAGAGTCCAGTACTGTGCAAAAAAAAAGATAGTAGGTCTCTTGAAAATAGCTCCCTATAGGAATGTAAATGCACAATAACCATTGTAACAATCCAACTAGTTTTCAGTTGAATGAATATTCAACACTTTTTAGTCTATTTAACAAAATATTTAGTATCTACTAGGTGCAGGAGCCCTTGTGGCACAATAGTTCAGTGTTGTGCTGCTAGCCAAAAGGTTGGCAGTTCTAATCCACCAGCCGCTCCTTGGAAACCCTATGGGGCAGTTCTACTCTGTCTTGTGGGGTCGCTATGAGTTGGAATCAATCAACAGCAATGAGTTTGGTTTTGGGTTATGTGCCAAGATCTACACCAGGTTCTGGGATACAGTGATGAACAAAAGAGATGGAGTCCCTGCTCTTAAAGGGCTTTAGCATAAAGGGGGAAGAATCACTTTACATCCGCTAGGATGGCAATAATAAAAAAGACAGATAATAACAAGTGTTAGCAAGGATGTGGCAAAATTGGAACACTCACACAGTGCTGATTAAGAATGTAAAATGTACAGTCATTTTAGAAAACAGTCTGGCACTTCCTCAAAAAATTAAACATAGAATTACCATATGACCCTGCAATTCTATTCCTAAGTATTTACCCAAAAGAACTGAAAACATATGTTAATGCAAAAGCTTGTACATGAACATTCATAGCGGCGTTATAACAGCTAAAAAGTGAAAACAACCCAAATGTCCATCAGCCAATGAATGGATGAATAAAATGTGGTATAGCCATACAATAGAATATTATTCAGCCATAAAAAGGAA